TGGAATACACTCCTGCTTGGAATACACTCCTGCTTGGAATACACTCCTGCTTGGAATACACTCCTGCTTGAAATACACTCCTGCTTGAAATACACTCCTGCTTGAAATACACTCCTGCTTGGAATACACTCCTGCTTGGAATACACTCCTGCTTGGAATACACTCCTGCTTGGAATACACTCCTGCTTGGAATACACTCCTGCTTGAAATACACTCCTGCTTGAAATACACTCCTGCTTGAAATACACTCCTGCTTGAAATACACTCCTGCTTGAAATACACTCCTGCTTGGAATACACTCCTGCTTGAAATACACTCCTGCTTGGAATACACTCCTGCTTGTAATACACTCCTGCTTGGAATACACTCCTGCTTGGAATACACTCCTGCTTGGAATACACTCCTGCTTGAAATACACTCCTGCTTGGAATACACTCCTGCTTGGAATACACTCCTGCTTGAAATACACTCCTGCTTGAAATACACACACTCCCCATTTGTTTTCAGGGGCTGTCTGGATGGAGTTTTTGAAAACCGTGGACTGCAATGAATAGTCACTTGCATAAGAAATCTCAGGAAAGGAAATAGAGGACCGGACCAATTTGTTCAAGCTTTATCAAAGTACCTACCATTTCCATCTCATATCGTCTCATCTCATGTTCTGTCCACTCCTTGACCTTCTCCTCTTCCTTCCTACTCTAAGAGTCTAAAGTGAACATTCTTTTTTCTACTGCAGACTACAAAAAGTGTGTATCACTGTATCCATCAATCTCGCACCATCTCCTCATTTGCTCATCTCTCCTCCTCCTCCTCGTCATCATCATCACCACATCCAAACTAGAGTGACATAATCACTCCCCCTCACTTTAGCCTGAAGTGCTTCTACCAAACATGCTGTTGTCTGATCCTGGAGCATTAGAAGGACCAAATGCAGACAGGGCTACAATTGCAATTTGCAGAGCCTCACCTGTGACAAGCTTGCAAATGGAGGCAAGCGAATGACAGCAGGACTTTGTGCAGAGAGCCTGCAGCCTCAGACTGCCAACAGCCTTTTGAATAACAGATGCCTGAAGGCTGAACATATTTGCTGACATTTTACACAGTTGCTATAACTAACTACAGCCCGATAAGACATGATCTACTTCAGGCCTGCTACACCACCTCGTCTTACCGATCATTTAGCGATGACAGTGTGACACCGTTCCGACAGCGGTGCTTCACCAGTCGTCAAGGGTTACAAACGCTGCATTCTGGCCCCGGCCCTTGCACGCATAACCTGCTATGATGCACAAGATTCACAAGCGTTAATCCTATGTTGTCAAAAGATATTCAGCAGAAGAGCTCTCAATTCAGATGGCGCAGCACAGGGGAACCGATGGTGGCTATTAACCATTACGACGCACACTCCCTCGCCTCAGCAAAAAATTGTTCCTTAGACCCCTGGCCTTCAAAACACCCTTCTCTCCTCGACACTGTTCCTACACCGAACCCTCGCCAGAACCCTCTTCCACACCTCCACGCCTGAAAACCAACCCTCTCTCTCTCTCTCTCCTCATCACCCTTCTCGATACCATCTTCCTCGACCGTCCGCTCAACATCTGCCACCAACAGCACCGCCACCTCCACCACTAACTGCAGCCTGCAGCGGTTAAATGGCTCGACCACTACCGTCATTTTGCACTGTTCACGGTCGGGTTAAAATTACCTGCCTCCACAGTTAACCCACCGCGAACCGGAGCGGTCAAGTGTCTCGATCACTACCATCACCAGCGGCACGAACCCTTCACACACAACACGTTGGTTTCTGTGGCCTCAGTGTAAAGATGTCGAACGAAGGAAATGATGCCGAAGCTGGGTACCTACTCTTCCAGTGTATTTGACACTCCTGACTTGCATCAAGCCGCCGCTTTTCAGCACTCCAAACCCACATCCACACAACACCTAGAACTCACCAAGTCTGCAACAAGACGGTTGAAACTCGCTGTGGGCAAGGCAACCTGTTTGTTTATTCGTTGTTTCGTTCGTTTCGCCCTCTCTCCCTGTCCAGCGCCAGCACCATGGGCATGGCGTCGGAAGTGAGTCGGACATCAAAGACGACCTAGGAGCTTCCATTTTCATGTGCATTTTCTGGCACGGCGGACTTCTCCTCCTCCTTGGTGGCGCTCTTCATTCTGCCAGCAACAGGGTACTTCTCGTCGAATTTCTACAAAACAGAAAAAGAGAGAAAGCACAAAAGCACTCGATATCAGACATGCAGGAACTGGATACGAACAAACGCTACTACATTTATTTAATTTAATGAACGACAAACTTAATTAATTAATTAATTAATTAGTTAACTACAACCCTAAGCCATCATGAATGGCAGGAACACGACCAGCCAAAGTTTGGAACCTCAGGGATTTCTTGAGGGGGGGCTCTCAAGTGTGTTCGAAAACCACGCAATGACCAAAATACCCCCGAGATCGCACAACAGGGATCCCTCCATGCAACAAAATCCTCCCCCTTTCGGCATTTAAGCTACCAGTACTTGGCCCAGCTATCGGCCGCGGGCGATTCCCGTTACCGCGCCGGTAGTTGTGCGCTTCGGGGCACCGAACCGCAATGGCTGGAAGCGCCAGCCAAAATGAAAACGAAACGGTGCCCCCGCGGCTCGGCAAAACTTGGCGCGGAGGGCGTGTCCCGGCTCGGCATCAATAGCTGGGCCGAACCGTACTGGTGGTTTAACTTTGACGTTCCTGGCGGTTTAACTTGGAGGCGTTTTTTTAGACCGAAATCGTCAGGTCCTACTGGTGGGAACCCGGTAAGCCCGGACAATTTCAGCTTTAAAAAAAAAGAAAAAAAAAAGCGCCAAAATTGCAGCAAGGAACGTCAAAGTGGACGTTTTCCCAAACTCCTAAAGTTTCGGAGGCCGGACCCGACGACGGCTGCCATTGATAAATCTGATCGGCGGCCGTCGTTTCGTTTCGGCCCCCGGCCTCCGAAAAGGTCGGGGGCCCACTGGAGGCCCACTATTTTCCCATGCGCCAAAGCATGGAGCAGACGGACAGATCAAGGTGAAAGGGTAGGCGAACGAGTAAATTGGCTGAGGGGACTGATATCAGAGATCAGCCGAGGCAATTTCACAGTACCAGAGAGAACCCCGTGCAAACGAGCAACTGGGTGTACTTGGGGGCAGTTATGGGGGAAGCTTGTGCAGCCTGTTTCTGCAACACACGTTTGCCATACAAAGTTTTTCGTTACTTCAAGCCTTATGCAGTGAAAACAATCTAGTCATCCCCAATGAAAATATCATGTGAAAAAAAAACGAGGGGGGGGAAATCATTCTAAAAGAAAGAAAGAAGGAACAAAAGAAGGAAAGAAAGAACAAAAACGAACATACAAGCCTTTATTTACTCATTGTTTGATGAATTGGAAAAAAACATGGGTGTGATTACCAAGCAAGTACGAGTCATTGTCATCAGGTTTAATCAGGTTTCGTTTTGCTCTTTGCAAGGAGACCCCCTCAGTCATGCATCATCCATCCATCATTCCATTTGTGCTTCCATGTGAACTGGCAGATATGGTGTGGCCGACCAAACCACATGAAAATCAACTTGTCTTTCCTCCTGGCGAATCGCCACACAGCTCAATGCAATTTCAGAGTTACGGTCGTCACACACCGTACACCACACAGCACAAGCTTATAGATGGTGCAGCTATGGTGTGGTGGGGTCAGCCCCACAAATATGCTCACACACAGACTTGCGAATTCGAGATAACAGGCCTGTCTGGCTCAATTACACCACAGCATCGAATTCAGAAGCTTGAAACTTCAGTGAAGCTTCCCCCAATGCAAAGCCTGTCACTTGCTGCTACAAAAACAGATGCCGGTCAGACAGAGTTCACCGCAGTCTTCTTGTGATACAAATCTCTACTACGTTTGAAACTTCAGTGAAACTTCACTGAAGCTTCTCAAGCATGTCTCCTTTCTCTCTCCTACACAGGACCTCTCCCTCAACATCGAAGTGATGCTCCCACTCGACGGCTCACTCACCACCACACAAACGCTCTCTCCCACAAACGCCCGACCCATCAGCACCATCCCACTCCAAAAGGATCAGAAAACACTTTAGCTACCGGATGTCAGCTCAATTGCCCTACTAGTCCAGCTATGGCTGTCGTCTTCACCACAAAGCGCACTGCTTGTTTCCACAAACACCAGCACCACGCAGAACAAACCCTCCAAAAGCGAATTCTGCGACTTCGTTTTTCGCACCGCCACTTCCCCCGTTGCCCTTGGAAACCTGTCGATACTTGCTGGAGGTACACTTGTTGCATGAATGGTACAAAGCATAGACTTAACGTACACATAAAAGCAGGTCTCAGTTTCCAAGAGGGCTCCACAAGCACAATCAACGATTACAACAGAGTGTAGCAACAGGTGAGGGCACAGGAAAACGAACACCAGCTCCTGGGTTCAACCTCCAACAGCATCACGCAGGCAAGGCAACAACAACAGCGACAGGTCCCGGGATTGAATCACGGCAGGTTTAAACCACTAGTACCTTTGTCGTTCGGTTTCGACAAGTTTTAGCCAAGTACCCAACTTTTAGGAGGCCTCGCCCGACAACGGCTGCCGTTGATAAATCCGATCGGCGGCCATCGTTTCATTTCGGCCTCTCCTGAAAGGGTTGGAGGCCCACTATTTTCCGAACCGATAAAGGTACTTGTGCTCTAAGAAGGTGAAATACTTTCACAAATGCTCTAAGAAGGTGAAATACTTTCACAAAAAAAAAAAAGAAAAAAAAAAAGGCTTTCATCTTACACATAATTGTTGCAAGGAAAAGGGTCCCGCATGACAAGCAGAAAAGTCGGGATCTTCCCTTTTCCTTTCTGTTTGGACCTTTTTTCCCAAATTGAAAACCACCACCACCAGCACTACCTACCTTTCCCATACATATTCAGCAGGTGAGTTCCCCCCCCACGAGTTCCCGAGGCAGGCAGTAACGGAACAAAGGGCCGCCTATGAAATTCATCAATGGCCGCCAAATGGCAGCCTATGAAATTCATCAATGGCAGCCCGGTCCCGGAAGAACGCGGTACAGGTTATATTCCCAACACTGTGAGATGTAGTGGTGATGGTTTAAGAAAGACGCACAAAAAGGATAAACACGAAAGGATAATAAAGGGACAATAATAAGTTAATAACCAACAACTCACCGCAGCCCAGGTGTCCAGCCTTTCCAGCTCAGCCAGCGATAAACCGTCCAGGTTGCCTGTAAGATCTTCTGGTTCAGATGACATTTTTGCGAGTGCCCGGCTTGCATCCCTGCAAAAAAATAAAAATAAAAAATAGAAAAGCCTTAGCAGCCCGTCATTGCCAAGGTTCCGTGCAATAGAAAGCAAGTCAAACAAAACAATCACACATATCCACCTACAACCCCCCCCCCCCCCCCCCCCCCCCC